ATTTTCCCATTAATTGGACGTGGATTATTTGTTATTTATAGAGTAGAAAAATCTAAGACTAGAATGGAATTAACTATGATGTTTTCTGGTGATTATAGGAAACCCTACAAATATAAGCTTAATAAAAATTAACAAGCTTGTATGCGAAATTTTTTTAAGTATTTTAGTCAAAACCACTGTGCAGAGACTGGTCAGAGTTCTTGGCAATGGCATCGGATGCAGTCACGAACAACTTGTTAGACGTTGAAGAGGAGAGACTAAGGAGCATCAACCCCAGGCACAAGCACATACATACTTAGGTCAATCAATAGTCCAATAATAAATCGTGTTTTCTCTTTTATTTATTTAATATAATATGACGAGTAACTAATTCTTTTATGATTTTGATTAATCATTTTTCAATTAACTTCATTCTCTTGTGAGAAGATAATTAATTGTATATTGATTCTTTTGTCACAAAGTGGAATATTATTTTTAGGCAACGATGATACAAAAACATTAAAAAAAAAAAATTGAAGAAATGTATTTTTTTCATTTTTGGTATTCAAATTAATGTCCTAGGTTATTATAGACATGTTCATCTCAATTCCATTTTCTTATTGTTTTCTGTTTCTATTTTTTTATTTTTTACAATTCAGTATTTTTAATAGTTGAATGTCCCCAATGTTCTATTTGAACAAACAAAAAAACACAACGATTTTAAGTAGACAAAAAAAATTTCAATGCTTGAATAATATTAGAAAAGACTAGTCAACTAAATCTTGCGTAGAACAAAAATCAAAACATTATATACATATTAAGACTTCTACGTAAAAATATATAATCAAACCTAATAATTTCATTTCACTTAAAAAGAAACTAGGTTAAGCCTGCTGTTTTGCACCAGTAATTAATATTTATAAAATAGTCTATTTAAGACTAAAATTATGATTTTTTTACTGTGTGCGGAATGAAATGTTTGTAATGAAAATTAGTATAGTATTAGTTTAAAAAATTAATTATAATTATTGCGGAAGATTTTTTGTCAACTATGGCCAAAATTATTATAATAAATCCGAGATCAGTTTGTGTATATTCGAATTTACGATTGTTTTTATATAGGAATTTGCCTCGCCAAGAGATAGATAAAATAACAAAATTGAACCAAATCAAAATTGAACTGTCTGAAATTGAACAAAAATATATAATAGTATGAATGAATACATAAATTATTATACTAAATTATCACAATCTAATTAAAATTATACGAAACTAAACTGAAATAATTGAACTAACAGAAAATTATTAAAGAATATTACTTTGTTTGTGTACTATGTTCAATTTTTTTAATTGATTAAGTGAATTTTTATCCCGTTGTCATTTGATTTTCTGTATTTTAAATTAGATTTACCTTTTTAAAATTTTAATGTTCAACCAATTTCAGAAATATCAGCAAATTCTATTTTTCAAATGTAATGGTAAGATATAATATTGTAATTTTTGAAATAATTGTATTTTGCAAGTTTAGACATACTCAAATGTGTTTGGCAAGTGGGGTTTTAGAATATCTAAAATAAGTAATATTTGTAATAAATGTGTTTCGTAATAGAAAAATTAAATTAAAAAAAAATGGTGAGAAAAATTATGGGAGTGACAAATCCTCAAAATTGGTTTCTAATATTTCTTCTTTAATATAAAGAGTATATTCTGAG